CCATGACAACCATGACCGTGTCCTTCCCTTGTAAGTTTTATCAATGGTCTAGCAGTTAGGGCGTTAGCCTACCGCTCTAGGAGAACCTGGAAACCTCCGCACAGAAAAATCCTATAAATTTTTCAAAGGTGATCGGACCCGGATATCAGGCCCCGTCCCTCACCAATTGTGTAGTCTGGCAGAATTCATGATGGACCCGAAAAGAGACCCTGTTGCGGAAATAGCAATAAAAAGATCTAAACTAATTATAATTACATAGTAATAATAATTTAAAATATACATTTACTTGTACAAAATAATATCTTAGAAAAAAAGGTAACGGCGAAAAAACGCACAAAAAATATCGTAAATTTCAAAGGTCATATATTAAATTATGTAAATTGAAATAATAATAAAAAATTATTAAGAACATAATTATTATATCATTCAACTCGTAAAAGAATTTGAGCTATTTAATATCCATAGCAAGAAAAATGAAATGTATGTGTTAGTGAAGATTTTACAACTTTTTAAGGTCCTAAAGAAACGCGATTTAATTTGATTTTTCTAAAACCGCTTCTAGGCGCACCAAATGATATCCTAGAATATGTTTCGATCGTTTTTGTGCCGCGTGTATAATTATATATATTTATAACATTGCCGTTCAGATACTAAGATGGTAGACGTATCTACCGTTGATGGCACCTCGTCTTAGGTACAAAATTCTTAATTAATGGATGGGCTCAGTATGATTTTAAAGTGGAATATTAGTCGAAAAAGAAGTGATTGATAACAAAACATCGGAGATGTCAAGAAAATTCACTGGGGATGTTTGTGGTAACCATAGCAACTTCTTCCTACATCGATCTCTCCGATGGCCCGTTTCTGACGAGCATGAAGGAAATGATCTGTTTGATTTAATCATTTTTATATTTATATACATATATAAATGTTCGATTAGAATTTATCTTCGAAGATTTAAACTTTGAAAAACTTTAGATTAAAGAATTTATATGAACTTTTAGAAAATAAAAGATGCGACCAGGCAAACAGATTAATCCAAAATTTCATGGGGAAGGACGGTACTATGTAGAAAGATGCGAAAGATTCCAAAGACACATTATCACTGCCTTAATAAAGTATTTTGTTTAAAACACCAGATTGTTTTTCATAAATGATATTAACTGAAAGAAAATCAAGAATTCATCTTTTGGCAAACTTCTTAAGATAAAAATTCTCATTTATTTGTACGAAGTTAAAATATATTTCCTGAGAGGAGATATTAATCACACTAAAGAAAAAGTTGATTAATCTATTGTCAAACTTCGGTAAGAAAGACAAGAAACGAGTTCTTGATTTTCCTGGATCCATCTAATGTGATAACCATTCATTTATAGACATGTAATTTAGTAATGATATAATTGAAGATTTTTGATAGTAAATTAAATATTTTAAATTCTTTAATTTTATCTTCGTACACGAGATGTTAATCACACTAGGAATCTTATCTGATTTCTTCTATTTTTGCCGTCATTTCAAAAATTCCTCAATTCTTGATTTTTATTAACATTACATAATATAACGTCGGATATCAATAATTTGATCAAATAAATGTCATTTTTATAAACCTAAATTTTATAAAATTATAATAGTTATTAAACTAATTAACAAACAAGTACGACATTACTAATATTATCTTCGTCATACTCTTACCTTGGTGTGCCCTATTTGACGGATAAATTTGAAACTGAAGAAATAAGCAAAGATTTCCGAGATGTGGTTGATAACAGACGCAACACCGAAGAGTGTGGGTGTTCCTCCGAGATCCTGCAGGTGCCAAAAGAGGAAAGTGAATACCAATCCTATCCCGAATCCCATAAACCATGTAACGTAGAGAAAGGCTCCGTATCTCAAAGTGGCAAACGTTCTCAAGACGGTAAACCATTCGGGTAATTTTCTCGTCGTTTGAGCAAAAACGGTACTCTATTACATAAATAAATAAATAATTTTATTATTAAAAATAATTACATTTAGCTATTAATGATATTGTGCAGAATGCATTATTATTATACTTATGAGATATTGATTTTTCCTTATATAAAACTCTGTCGATCGATCACAATTGATTAATAGTGTTCGTGTTCTATGTGAGATTTTAAAACCATTCCTAATATTGATCTTTTCAGACATTCAGTTTAATACTATTGGTATTTAGCAAAATATAATTCTTTTAATATAAAATAATGTAATATGTAAATTAAATATTAAGAATCGTAATCTGAATAAATAAAATTTAATATCTTCTTTTGTATAAATCCACATAAAATAAAATGAAATTCCTTCAATTCCTTAAGCCTCTAATCTCCTCTTCTTTATTAAAATCTAGTTAATATCTTTCTGTCTTTGTTTCTTCCAACTGATGTTCGATAAACCTTATATTAGTTATAAAAGTAAGCTTCGTCTAATTAAATATATTGGCAAAAATTATGTAAAATTCAGTTTAATATTTTTGTTAAATAACGACTAAAATTTGTAAGATTTATTTAATATACGCTCGCCTGTACTACTTGATATTAATTTTATAAATGATATATTCGAGAAAATTAAGAAGTGCCTGCAACTACACGAAAAGTGCGATACAGCGGAGTGAAAATTCCCATTTTGATGTCGATATTGTCCTCGTTAAAACCGAGAGCAGAATGCATTAGAGAATTATCAATGAGAATGCTATTACGTGACACGATGACATCCATCATCTTTAAAGACGTTTGTCAACAGTTGCTACTTTAATGTAGATCTACCTGAAAAGTTTATTTCGTTTGTTTAATTAGAATATTTCGTTTATGTTCTCTTATCATTAAAAGAAAAAGATTCAGAAGGAAAATTTACTTCATTTTTGTAACCTACAGCTAGAAGCAAAACTATGAAACTTACTTTTACTTTATTTTTCAGTTTAACTTTTTATTTAGTAATTAGCGTGCTGATAACTTATTTAAGTACAGAAGGGTTTAGATTATTGTCATCAAAACTTTCAGATAAATATTCTAGTTTATGCAAAATTTTCAAATATAAAAATTTCTCTTTCCCATTTAATAAGTTTCAATAATTAGATAAATAATCGATAATTCTTCTTAAGCATATCTTCACGTAATTATATTACATCTGAACTATAAAAATACGAATGTTCTCTGTAGCTGTTTTATATCTTTTGCATATTCACATAAAAAAACTGATATAAAAATATACATATAAATGATAATTTAACGTTTATTATATAATAATTTTGACCCCGAGACGTCAAAAACATTGAAATGTTAACTTATNTACTGGAAAATTTGTAAACATTTTATGCATATTTTTTATACATTCATAAAGTTTAACACCTGACAAATACTGAAACAAAAAATTGTATTTTTGTTTAGTTATTCTTAAATTTAAAATAAAGGAATTAAAATTTGCTGTAAAAAATGGTTCTCTGTCTAATATAAAATTTATTTGACGTTTTTTTTAAATGATAACGTTGACTAGAAATACTCAAAGAAAATTCTCTTGTCATCTTTTTATTTTTTATCATTAGATTTAGGCAATATCAAAGAAGCAATTGAAAATAATTCATTATTATTTTAGACTTATGTATAATTCATTACAGAAGATAACGGAAGAATAAATTTCATAGCAATTAATTATTTTTATAGCATTAAAGACCGTTCAATCAAATCTAAAAATTGCAAAATTTTATAACATTAATTAAGGAAGAAAATTCTGTGAAAACTAATAAAAAATCTAAATCGGATTTTTAAAACAATTTTTATTTGATTTTCTTCTCAAATTAATGATATTTAATTCCGGTTCAGAAAATTATATTTATATAAGAGGCATTGGTAAGTATTATTAAAATGATTGATTGACTTTCAATTAGTTTAAAGAAATTTAAGTGGATTGCAGGTAATTCATTCTAAAAATTACGAATCGTTTAAAGATAATTTTCATGACGACGACGATGATAATTATATATAATACAGGGGGTCTCCGAAGCATATTTATCCGGCCCGTATTCATATTAATCGTTTTCAGACACGTTTTATCGTCATTCGAATTAGTTCAAAGAATATAAACTTTTGAAAAGTCAACTACAATTATCATAATAGATCTTGATTATTATAAAAACCCATTTAAAGAGTTTGTTAGATTTTTACAAATCTTCTCCAGGAGAAAATTTTAAGTCTTAAGATATTTTTGTTTCTACTTACTGTATCTTTGAGAAGAAACATTTTTCAAAATTTAAATACAGTATATAAAATCAAAATATCGAACAATCTAAAAAAGAGTTTAATATTGTGTACCATAACATTTATTCTCGATTCTGATGACATTCTTTCGAAAGAGAAGTCGCAAATTTTATATTGATTTATGTTCGTTGTTATTCAGAAAAAATAAAAATCTTAATCTTTAAATTTATCATTCGTACATGGCCCCTAAACTTGTCTTTCACGGATTATATGGCCCTCTTCAGAAAAAGGTTGGGGACCTCTGATGTAGTATATATATTTTTCTTTATTACCGAACCATAAAAATTTTGTGTAAACTGCTTATTATATAAATGGTTATTTTTCCAAAGCATTTGTCCGATTTTTTTTTCTCTCGATCGAATTCTTATTCGTCCTTTGTGATCAAAAGAAAGCGTTTCCCATTTTAGAATGGATCAATGAATGCGGTTACTACACTAAATTCACCTGAGTTATTTCCCACAATAAAAAAAAAAATGCGCAGAAAAGGCTTCCAATTAAACTATTACTTTGTCAGAATTTTCTAGTTTTTCTTGTAGAAAAATTTCTAGTTAAAAGATTTACAAATCTTTTCACGTTTTCTATTTTGCTATAAATTGTTTCCTCAGTCTGTAGGTCGCGTTTCAATCTTGTATCTAATCCATAAATCGATAAAGTGTAGCAAATATATAATATAAGCCTATACGCGACTTAAATCAATATAAATTAAGTGTGTAATATAATAAATCCTCTCACCTTGGACGAATTCGAAAGGTAGAACCCACCAAGGGTTCCTTAACCAAGAAATGTATAGGAATCTGCACACGTTCCCTCCTAAACCGATGCACAGAACCTAAAAATGTCGAATATATTTATAAATATATAACTAATANAAACCTTAAAATTATTATAAAGATAACCAATCCCAAAAGTATGAATCACCTGGGTATTTTATATATATATATATATATTTATTTATTTTACCATAAATGCTAAAAGCTAAACTGGAATTTTGTTATATATAAATCTGAATATCGATAGCTTATTTTATTTTACATCATTGATTCACACACATTTTGAATTTTTAAGCTATAAAAAATATTTAAAAAATTGAGAGGTGTGTGCATTATTGAGTGCGTAAAAAAGCTGAAAATAAATCCATTTCTTGATATACGTTCAGGATTAAGGATAAACTAAATAACAAATAAAAGAACTGTATACATTTTAACTTTTTTTCCTTACATTTTATATTTTTCTTCTGTTAAGTATTGTTATTGTTTATAATTATACATGGGCCTTTGTTAACTTCCGGAGGAATTTACTTTTACATAGCCCATCATTGTAGTAAAGATAAAAAGATCAAAGGCCTACAACAATAATTTACTCCTCTAAACTTTTTTTTTTTTATTGGAAATTGGATTATATTGGATTGATGGAATAGGGCAATGCAACACAGGGACGATCTGTCTCCAGAAAGGACTTTCTATTGTAAACTGGTGCCTATTTAGGCGTTACACACTTGAAGAAACCAGGAAAAATGCACTTGGTTGGTGAGATGCGAACCCGCGACCAATGCACAGTAGTTTTAACCATTCGACAAATAATAGCACCATATAAAATTACATATACAGTATATATATATATATATATCATTGTAAGTTAATCATTCTATGTTTAATTCATAGCAGTGTTTCCAAGTATTTGATTTAATACACTGCTTAGATACTAGAATCTCGTAACACCCAAGCAAAAATATATTTTGCGAGTTGCTAATTGAGAAATAATACGTTAGAACATTGACGAAATAACGATCCCTTATCATACAGGATCCGTTCGCTCGGGCTATTTTTAAGAGGTCGGATAATCATAATCCTCAAAAGTTTTAAAAGTCATTTGGATTTATAAATTAAAATCATGAAACATTTTAAATTTGTTAAAATTGACAACTAGTTTTTAAAATTTTTAAAGAAACTCCCAAAAGATGAGTGAAAAATTTTAATCCGTGATTCTAAAAATAAATATCACGAATTATAACGTATATATAATCTCGATTTTTCAGTAATTTAGAAGTTTTTTTCCCATAGAATAAAATATAAAATGTTCTGGTTTTCATAAAATTTGGACAGAGCATTTTTTGCTTTCAGATTTTTCTGTAAGCGTTACTTAATCCACAATGTTCACATGAGATAATTTCCTATTAAGAAAATATAATTAGTTTTGTTTACATTTATACAGTATTACTATTATATTATATAGAATTTTAATATATTTAAAATCAAAAAATTTTTAAGGAAAAAAATCTACAGAGCAGTATGAACAGATGCTCCAATATCTCAAGATAACGATGGTATGTAGCATTTTAAAAATAATTTTAAAGAGAATATAGTATTAAAGATTATATTTTTCTTTTCTTAATATTCCTCGGGTTCTTGTTAATTGCTTAAAATCAGTAGAGTCAAAATTTCAATTACAAATACAGTCAGCTGCAAATTTCTATAAATACAGTTGATAATAATAAAGCGACATTCGACTAACAAGGAGAGTACGCGGTCATGGTGTCACGGATTTCGATGAGCTTTAAGATTGTGAATGTACAGTACATCGAAAATAATTAATCCATGTTTCAACGTTTCGTCCAATTGACCTAGTTTATAAAAATTGATGTTCGAAATTGGGACTAAATTATCAAATATAAGTTATCAGACAAAAATATAACAAGACAGTTGCAGCAGCATAATTTTAACACGTGTTCTCAAGTTTGAAGGTTCGTGTCCACATAACATTACATTTTTGAAAATATATTTTTTAATTTTTTAATTCCTGGTATATATACGATAAACTTCCTGATGTTGCATTTATTGAAAAAGGTCAAGAATGCTATATATATTTAAGCAAAGCTCTTGAAAATAACAATAAAATGTTATTCTTCTCATTAGAGTCAATAAAAATTGTCTTACCCAATTGTGAAAGACATTTTGTCTACGCTTCCGTTACTCATTTTTAGATACAGCTTGTTGATTTTATATTTGTTTTGTGGTGGCTGTAATCGTACATCATTAACTGGAGTGTCACGACTAAACAAAGAGTACCCATTTCTGACTTACCATGACGAACGAAGATATTAAGGATTAGATTTGTAGAGAAATTTTATAGAAGTGAAATGAAGAAGAAGAAGTATTTCTGCCACATAAAGACATTACAGAAGAAGACGACGACATTGAAACGTCAAATTCCTCTCATTTATCCTATGAAAGTATCTGTTATTAGTGGCACTTCTACCAGCTATCTTATTAAAAAATATATTGTTTTATTTCTGAACATTATTCACTTTGTTTAGAAACTATAATGGAACACGTGTATCTTATCTCATTTGTGCACTAGGATATTAAAATAAAAGAACATAAAAATAAAAATTTAATAAAAAGTAATACTGTTTGAATTCAAACATCCGATCTTGAGAACAAGTATCATCACCAATGTTTGGATTCGGAATCGGTAAAATTCTTTTGACTCTGGCGACCCAACCTCGAATTTTACTACTGGTAAAATGTGAAATACTAAAAATACTTTTTAATTAGTTCCTAAAGAAATCTCTTAGAAAACGGACACTTCGATAAATTTATATATCAAAAAGATATTCATCTATAAAGGCCATTTCACAGCAAAGGTTTATGCGTACCGCACGCGACGTGCTCTACACTTTGAGAAAATATATATTATTCATTTAAACGAATATATTCACATGTCAAGAGAGCTGTACCTTCTATATAACATACGCCGGGCTCGATGTGTTTTTGCTATTAAACAAAAAAAAATTACGAAATATCGCGCAGTATTTGACTGACTTTGCATTTGTAAAAAAACATCTTAGCCTTTATATTTTATTTTGAGTGGTTTATATATTTTGCGAAAAAATGAATCTAAGCAACGTATGAGCCACTCTAAAAACAAATGATCTTTTCAATGTGAGTGTATTGATTGATCGGTTTCAGATACTGGCACGCAACACTGCCAATCAAGGAATGTGCCTTCAGGAAGGTCTTTTAAAAAAAACTGGCCCCTTTTCGGGAGTTATCGACGTGAAGAAAACCTGGAAAACTTCACTAACAGGCCCGTCGACTCGAGCGCTAACCCGAGCCAACCACCAATGTTTAGGGATCAAATCCGCTTAGCCACTAGTGTAGTATGGAGAAGACGAACCTGTGAGAATTTATACGTTTTACATCTCGAATATTTTTCTTTGAATATAATTTTTTTTTTTTTTTACTAATTTAACTAATTAATTTTTTGATTGTCTTCTTATTGGTTGCGAATTATTTATGAATATTTATTATTGCTTCTATAACATAATTTGGCCTTAATGGTTTGGTTTTATTCGTTTTAGGGCAACGCGATCCATGAGCGAGTTGCCGAGAGGAATGCCTCCCGGAAAGTCTTTTATGGGCAACTGGCCCTCATTTAGGTATTACAAACGTAAAAAAAAACCGGAAAAGTTTCACGTAGCCAATCTGTTGGTGAGGCGGGAGCCCACATTTCAGTGTTCAGTAATTTTATCCACTCGGATACTGGTGGGCTAATTTGGTCTTAAAACAGTCGATGAAAAAATAAAACGAAGATCAGAATCTAACTGCAAAAACCAAAAGAGAGAGAAAACTGTAATATATAATTAATAGGATTGTTTCAGCTTATTATTCATTGGTTTAAATTCTTGGGGCACAATTGTACGCGTCGGTTCTTGATAATCGATTTTTTCCAAAATTCACATTTTAAAACTCTACTGTTTACTTGAGTTTATTTAACCATCAGTTGGAAATTAACTAGTCACGTTGTAGCCGGGGCAGGAGAAACTATTTTACGGACCAATTTATTGTCATTCATCAAATCGTTGTGTTTTGCGTTTTTGTCGTATTTATTTATTTATTTTTCTTTAAAATGATTAAATTTAAATCAATTTTTGATAATTAAGTAATAAAAGTGGAACTATTTTGGCCGATTAAGATGTAGTATGTTTCCTTATGTACTCGAAAGTTTATCCAGGGTAAATTTATTATATCCATTTTTTCATTTTCATCATAAATTTTAGTACAACTTTTATAGATAAAAATATTCAGATACTCAGCGATATACGGGGTGAACCAAAAATAAATGGACAGCAAATGATAACGTTTATTCAGGTTACATATACAATTATATTTACTAACACAATACAATACAATTTTATCAACGCAGGTGCTCAAACTGTTGTCCATTACAATTTACACAGCTATGAAGTCTACATTTCACCATTTCACGCTTCGACAAACATTTTTGCACAAGTATCTTTGAAATGCATCTATGATGTAATTTTTCGACCATAACCAAGTTAAATATAGCCTACACCATTGTTATAGTAACACAAACTTATTCCACCTACTTTTGGTTCACCCTGTATTTCTTATAAAAGAAAACATAGTGTTTCATTTTAAAAAGAGAAAGGCCGGAGTTGGAGTCGAATTATTTATTTATCGACTCCACCACACTAGTCACAACTTTTACTAACTTTGCTCCCTTCTTCCGTCTTTATCTGATAACTTATATGCTAATAATTCTAATTTCGAACATCAATTTATGTAAACTAAAATCCACTGGACGAAACGCTAAAACATGGATTAATTTGATTTCGTCGTACATTCACAATCTTAAGGCTCATCGAAATCCATGACAACCATGACCGTGTCCTTCCCTTGTAAGTTTTATCAATGGTCTAGCAGTTAGGGCGTTAGCCTACCGCTCTAGGAGAACCTGGAAACCTCCGCACAGAAAAATCCTATAAATTTTTCAAAGGTGATCGGACCCGGATATCAGGCCCCGTCCCTCACCAATTGTGTAGTCTGGCAGAATTCATGATGGACCCGAAAAGAGACCCTGTTGCGGAAATAGCAATAAAAAGATCTAAACTAATTATAATTACATAGTAATAATAATTTAAAATATACATTTACTTGTACAAAATAATATCTTAGAAAAAAAGGTAACGGCGAAAAAACGCACAAAAAATATCGTAAATTTCAAAGGTCATATATTAAATTATGTAAATTGAAATAATAATAAAAAATTATTAAGAACATAATTATTATATCATTCAACTCGTAAAAGAATTTGAGCTATTTAATATCCATAGCAAGAAAAATGAAATGTATGTGTTAGTGAAGATTTTACAACTTTTTAAGGTCCTAAAGAAACGCGATTTAATTTGATTTTTCTAAAACCGCTTCTAGGCGCACCAAATGATATCCTAGAATATGTTTCGATCGTTTTTGTGCCGCGTGTATAATTATATATATTTATAACATTGCCGTTCAGATACTAAGATGGTAGACGTATCTACCGTTGATGGCACCTCGTCTTAGGTACAAAATTCTTAATTAATGGATGGGCTCAGTATGATTTTAAAGTGGAATATTAGTCGAAAAAGAAGTGATTGATAACAAAACATCGGAGATGTCAAGAAAATTCACTGGGGATGTTTGTGGTAACCATAGCAACTTCTTCCTACATCGATCTCTCCGATGGCCCGTTTCTGACGAGCATGAAGGAAATGATCTGTTTGATTTAATCATTTTTATATTTATATACATATATAAATGTTCGATTAGAATTTATCTTCGAAGATTTAAACTTTGAAAAACTTTAGATTAAAGAATTTATATGAACTTTTAGAAAATAAAAGATGCGACCAGGCAAACAGATTAATCCAAAATTTCATGGGGAAGGACGGTACTATGTAGAAAGATGCGAAAGATTCCAAAGACACATTATCACTGCCTTAATAAAGTATTTTGTTTAAAACACCAGATTGTTTTTCATAAATGATATTAACTGAAAGAAAATCAAGAATTCATCTTTTGGCAAACTTCTTAAGATAAAAATTCTCATTTATTTGTACGAAGTTAAAATATATTTCCTGAGAGGAGATATTAATCACACTAAAGAAAAAGTTGATTAATCTATTGTCAAACTTCGGTAAGAAAGACAAGAAACGAGTTCTTGATTTTCCTGGATCCATCTAATGTGATAACCATTCATTTATAGACATGTAATTTAGTAATGATATAATTGAAGATTTTTGATAGTAAATTAAATATTTTAAATTCTTTAATTTTATCTTCGTACACGAGATGTTAATCACACTAGGAATCTTATCTGATTTCTTCTATTTTTGCCGTCATTTCAAAAATTCCTCAATTCTTGATTTTTATTAACATTACATAATATAACGTCGGATATCAATAATTTGATCAAATAAATGTCATTTTTATAAACCTAAATTTTATAAAATTATAATAGTTATTAAACTAATTAACAAACAAGTACGACATTACTAATATTATCTTCGTCATACTCTTACCTTGGTGTGCCCTATTTGACGGATAAATTTGAAACTGAAGAAATAAGCAAAGATTTCCGAGATGTGGTTGATAACAGACGCAACACCGAAGAGTGTGGGTGTTCCTCCGAGATCCTGCAGGTGCCAAAAGAGGAAAGTGAATACCAATCCTATCCCGAATCCCATAAACCATGTAACGTAGAGAAAGGCTCCGTATCTCAAAGTGGCAAACGTTCTCAAGACGGTAAACCATTCGGGTAATTTTCTCGTCGTTTGAGCAAAAACGGTACTCTATTACATAAATAAATAAATAATTTTATTATTAAAAATAATTACATTTAGCTATTAATGATATTGTGCAGAATGCATTATTATTATACTTATGAGATATTGATTTTTCCTTATATAAAACTCTGTCGATCGATCACAATTGATTAATAGTGTTCGTGTTCTATGTGAGATTTTAAAACCATTCCTAATATTGATCTTTTCAGACATTCAGTTTAATACTATTGGTATTTAGCAAAATATAATTCTTTTAATATAAAATAATGTAATATGTAAATTAAATATTAAGAATCGTAATCTGAATAAATAAAATTTAATATCTTCTTTTGTATAAATCCACATAAAATAAAATGAAATTCCTTCAATTCCTTAAGCCTCTAATCTCCTCTTCTTTATTAAAATCTAGTTAATATCTTTCTGTCTTTGTTTCTTCCAACTGATGTTCGATAAACCTTATATTAGTTATAAAAGTAAGCTTCGTCTAATTAAATATATTGGCAAAAATTATGTAAAATTCAGTTTAATATTTTTGTTAAATAACGACTAAAATTTGTAAGATTTATTTAATATACGCTCGCCTGTACTACTTGATATTAATTTTATAAATGATATATTCGAGAAAATTAAGAAGTGCCTGCAACTACACGAAAAGTGCGATACAGCGGAGTGAAAATTCCCATTTTGATGTCGATATTGTCCTCGTTAAAACCGAGAGCAGAATGCATTAGAGAATTATCAATGAGAATGCTATTACGTGACACGATGACATCCATCATCTTTAAAGACGTTTGTCAACAGTTGCTACTTTAATGTAGATCTACCTGAAAAGTTTATTTCGTTTGTTTAATTAGAATATTTCGTTTATGTTCTCTTATCATTAAAAGAAAAAGATTCAGAAGGAAAATTTACTTCATTTTTGTAACCTACAGCTAGAAGCAAAACTATGAAACTTACTTTTACTTTATTTTTCAGTTTAACTTTTTATTTAGTAATTAGCGTGCTGATAACTTATTTAAGTACAGAAGGGTTTAGATTATTGTCATCAAAACTTTCAGATAAATATTCTAGTTTATGCAAAATTTTCAAATATAAAAATTTCTCTTTCCCATTTAATAAGTTTCAATAATTAGATAAATAATCGATAATTCTTCTTAAGCATATCTTCACGTAATTATATTACATCTGAACTATAAAAATACGAATGTTCTCTGTAGCTGTTTTATATCTTTTGCATATTTACATAAAAAAACTGATATAAAAATATACATATAAATGATAATTTAACGTTTATTATATAATAATTTTGACCCCGAGACGTCAAAAACATTGAAATGTTAACTTATACAGTACTCTTTTATTCACCTGTTCAAAGTTTTACTGTATGATTCAATTAACATGCTGTAGAGTATGATTTACAGGAGTAGAACTCGAAAATATTGCTAATGTTATAATAAATACAAAATTTTTATATTGAGATGTTAAAAATTAAAATATTTATCATTCGAAATCTTTAATAAATATAAAAAGTGGAAGTACAATGATTTAATAAATCAAATTTGATTATTATAAATAATTTTTTATTTCATAAATTTAAATGGTATATTAATTTATTTGTGTTTATTATTTGCTCTACCGTTGATTGGATATTATATTGTTAGTTTTAATTAAATGCAATATTTCATTTCATAAAACACAAAAGTTTTGAAAGATTTAACGACAAATTTTCAGAAAAGATTTATCTATCTTGCGTGCTTCACTAAACGAATACCGCCACTCCATTTTATTTATTTTCATAAAACAAATTATATGAAAAATGGAAGAGTTTTATCACGGAATACATTACATAAAATTTTAAAATATTGTATTTTTAAAATTTAATCCTTACCTTAGCCGTTCCAGGTCCTTTAGATGCATCTGTTCCTTCCGATTTTACAGCTCCGTCCATAACAATTTGAGGATTTCCTTGATTAGGCCCATTCTGCATGACTTTCATGGGAATGTTATCGTCGATGGAATCATAATCGAAACGAAATTGCGTTGCGGCAATGAAAGCGCATCCCATCAAAACAGAAAAAGTGGCGAAACAAATCGTATAATTTCTCTCTTTTTCGTGAGGTCCGCACGGATGATCTATGAATGTAGTAGAATGATCAAGTGCAATTCCGACGAAAAACATGGCCAGACCCCATCCCAAAGAACCGAACATTCTCTGCTNGAATAATTTATTTTGTTGTTTTCGTAGTGTACATGTTTTGTATCGTTTGAGTCTACGTGCTTTGGCTGCGAGTTTTTGTTTTAGTGTATCGATGTATTCTGTAATGTGTGTGTTGTGATGTTCGTGTTTTGTGTGTGTTTTGATTTTCTTGAAAATGTTTTTGAGTTGTTTCTTTAATTTGGGTGTTATGTTGTTTTTAGTGTATTGTGTCAGCCTGCCTAATTGCTGTCTAATGTCATTTATTTGTGTCTAATGTCATTTATTTGTGTTAATGTCATTTATTTGTGTTAATGTCATTTATTTGTGTCTATATTAATTTATTTGTGTTTATTATTTGCTCTACCGTTGATTGGATATTATATTGTTAGTTTTAATTAAATGCAATATTTCATTTCATAAAACACAAAAGTTTTGAAAGATTTAACGACAAATTTTCAGAAAAGATTTATCTATCTTGCGTGCTTCACTAAACGAATACCGCCACTCCATTTTATTTATTTTCATAAAACAAATTATATGAAAAATGGAAGAGTTTTATCACGGAATACATTACATAAAATTTTAAAATATTGTATTTTTAAAATTTAATCCTTACCTTAGCCGTTCCAGGTCCTTTAGATGCATCTGTTCCTTCCGATTTTACAGCTCCGTCCATAACAATTTGAGGATTTCCTTGATTAGGCCCATTCTGCATGACTTTCATGGGAATGTTATCGTCGATGGAATCATAATCGAAACGAAATTGCGTTGCGGCAATGAAAGCGCATCCCATCAAAACAGAAAAAGTGGCGAAACAAATCGTATAATTTCTCTCTTTTTCGTGAGGTCCGCACGGATGATCTATGAATGTAGTAGAATGATCAAGTGCAATTCCGACGAAAAACATGGCCAGACCCCATCCCAAAGAACCGAACATTCTCTGCTTTCCATAGCTATCGGTATTATCTCCGAGAAAAGAAAGAGTAGCTGAATCCGCTAAAGTAATGGATGGCGCGCTGAAGAATTCTCCCAAAATAACTAGAAGAAGAAGCAAGAAGAACACCTCTTGGATATCTTCCCATCTATAAACAATAGAACTAAAAGGTGGTGAAATATACGACGTGTGATGTTCCTTGTCATAATTGAGTGTATACTCGACAGAATTGGGAGACTTCCCTATGACATAATTGGGAGGAGAAGAATGACGATTGTATTTTTCCTTTTGCCTTCTGTATCGTTGATAAAGCTCTACGGTATCATCATCTTCCGTTTTATTTTCGTCATTCGTTTCGATAACGACATCGTTGAGAGCAAAAAATTCGTCGAAGTTGGCGCTTCGTTTTGATCTTTCGGCATCCGGATGATACAAAATGTGATGAGTGGTGTTAAAAGTCACGCAGGATGATGCCGGGGGATGAATAAATGCCAGAGCCAAAGTAAAAACTATCCAGGATGCGAGAGAAAGCAACAGCATCATTTTACCCTTTCTGAAACGGTCGGCCATATTGCCCCAAAGAGGAGCACTAAGAAATTCGACAAAAGGACGTATACCGATGAGAATACCACTCTGAGTGGCATTCATTCCCAACTGTTTAAAATACACGGCCAATAAAGGAAACAGAGAACCGAAAGCCGAAAAGAAAAAGAAGTAAAACGTCTTAGATATCAGCAAATCCTGATTGACAGACGTACAGAGATTGTCAATGATATCTTTTTTATTATAACCGGTTTGTTTCTTTCCAGCTTCGACATCTTGTGCCTGTTGGTTTTCGTACTTATCGACCACCGCTCCGTACCCGTTATTATATTCTTCTTCTAAACCTTTCATTTCCACCATTTTCTTTTTCGATTTTTAGTTTCTTTTCATTCCTCAGCTTGGGCAACAAGATCTATGCGTACGAATAACTAGAACGGAAATGCTTGACGTCACAACTTTCTTTATTTCGGATCGGTTGTTCCACCTCCAAGGCACTGACAGAAAACGTTGGGACGTTTTCTCCATACAGAATCCAATTTCGGGATAAGAACCCTTTCAATTAGAACTTCTGAAATGAAAATATTTAGAAAAATAACATTGTTTTCTTTCTAAAAAGAATCATTTTTAACTTTAAAACATGCTTAAATTAATATAAAAACATCTAAATCACAGAAGATAGTCTACTCTATCAGATGTTTCCAGAGAATATTTCATTATGGTTAAGCTCATTTTAAGTATTTTTTTAAGATTATTTGTAATGTCAAGTTTCATATAAAAGTGACAATTATATGTTAAATTTCCACTGACATATATTTTCTCCAGAAATTATATGATATTTATATCGTGAAATATCAGAATCGAAGGTTATTAACTAATTTATTTAATGGATTAATTGAAAATACGTCACAGATGATCGGGTATCCGATGTTTGAATCGATATTTCATCTCTTTACGCATCACAGTTACATATAAAGGTCACGGTTATAATAGTTTCACTTTCTTATTGGAAAAATTGCGTGAAAAATTTCAACTCTTCTAAATAAATTTTGATATTATTCTATTTTTTCCACCTCCAATAAATGGTAGGATCGCGTTAAGTGTCGCGATTGTCGTCGTAAGAACGTGTACTTAATGCTTGTAGGGTTTCGTAAAAATCTAAATGTGCATTAATTCGGGTGGTCTACACATTCTTAAACGTCTTTTACCTTATTTATCGGCGTTAAGTGATGATAATTAGACACGTTGACTCTCTTACCTTTCCGTCTTGATCCAAACGAGCAACCGCATCACACCCACCTCCCGACGACGTGCCCTTACGTCATATAATAGAGTAAACTACAATCCTGTCGATTATTACTCATTAAATGTCAGAATAATACGTAAACATAAAAGACAATTATTGAATAATTTTTATTTTTTCGTCTAAAAATTTTTATATCAAAATATTCTGTTTTCTCGTAAGATGACCGATTGACGAAGCTTCTTCCCTCCGCGTCTTTATGGCGCCCTCTCGTGGAAATGTAAGTAATTATACTGTAAAATTAAATGATAAATAAATAAAAATATAAAATTTTTTCCTTTCTAAATTAATATATTTGAATAAAAATTACTATTAATTTTTTAATTAAATAATTGTAAAAAAATTTTGACTGTTTAATACTTGAGAAATTTCTTAAGGTTAATGATGCGTGTGTAGCATATGTCAGTCGGTAATTACCCTCGTTTTATCTAATATTCTTTAGATTAAATGTGTTTTTTCTTAAGGAAATTGCGATAGAAATGTAAAAAAAAACTAAAATAGAGATCTTATATTTTTTATTTCATCGCTTGTTTTGATACTGTATTTGTATAGATTTAAGGAAGCGATTTCTTTTAATACTCGTCGTTAGATAATGTTCTCTTAGCTTATATGGAACGACGATGTAGCAAACTTAGTGAACAATTTTATCAATGTAATCGCGATTTATTCGTTATTGTTTTTAAAACATGGCAGAAATTCAAATGCCTCCTTTAATCTTATATACATTATCACTATCTGTACAGTTTATAACTTATTTAATTTAGATTTTAATAACAACTTTCTGATTACAATTTTTTTAAAATTGTATCCAAGTTAATGACACCGAAAATGGTTTGAAATTATTATTATCTTAGAGAAAGGTTTATGAGAACTTATATTTGTAATTGAAATTGAAGTATTCGTATAATATAATTAGTATTGTACAAGATTTGAGAAAAATTAAGCAAATGAGAGAATTTAATGTGACGGAATAGTTCATATCTATGACCTTTAATGGAACTTTTGCAAAATTTGAAGAATTTACGATAAAATTTAATTAATATATAATATATGTTTACAATACATATAAATATATAACTAAATATTAAATATAAATGATAAGAATTGCTTTTTAAATATTAATTAATAAGTTTACAAGGTATACATCTAACTCATTTCTCAGATCAAATAATTTTTCAAAATACAGTCTTAAATGTTTTTCTTTGTTTATTTTCGATCAGTTTGACCTCATCATTTGATTGCAAATAAAATTATCTCTTTCTATCTGATTGAAAATCCTTCTTTCCAAATTATTTTTGTCTTCCTTTGACATCAAATGGATATAGTTCTTATGTTTTCTTGAGAAAACAAGCACTATTTATATTCATATAAAATAAATATCAATAAAATTGATGTAACAATTTAAATTTCTGTGATTTTATTGTATGTAAATTTTAATCATTTTAAATTACGTTTTGTTCTTCTTTTTCTTTCATAAATCGTACAAGATTTCTTTATAAAGTTTTACATATTTTAAGTTAGTACATAGAAATAATCTATTTTTAATAAACAGAGTAGGCTTATCAAGAAAAAGATTATTATCTTTTTCTTGTTACTCTATTCATTATATGTACTGTATGTTGCATCTTTTCTGTTTTATTAATTATAGACGGTTTGTAAATAGTTTAAATTACTTTTTAAGAGAAAATTTCGTAATAGTTTTAATTCTTAAAATGTATTTTGATCTTAAAGCTTTCGAAATTCTTTATAGATTTTAAGACGCACATAAACTATAGTCAAACTATTTGTGGTATGTAATAATAAATTATTATTTTTTATTGTAACATTCTATATTATATTTTTAAAGTTGAATATTCGTTTGTAAACATACTTTTTAATTTTCATTTCATAAGATTTTTTTCCACTCTTTTGTAGAGACATTGGATGAATGCGTAATCATGCCAGATGATCGCAGATTTGAATGATGAACGTAAAATAATAATTTACACTTCAGTCATGTGTCACACGTGACTTGAATGCAATCCAAATTAAAGATCTCGAAAAAGAAGATCTGGAAGATCTAGAAAAATTAAAATAGAAATATATTTTATGAAATCAAGTTATTAAATATATTTCTATTTGAATATTATTCATTAAAAATTTTAGTTTATGATACGTATAATTAAAATTTATGTAAAAACATTAAAGAAATACAATAAGTGAATTCGAAATGACTATACAAAACAAATACAAAATAAATATTGAATTACTTTACAATTTATATTTACAAAAGATTAATAGTGATATCGAGCAAAATAAGTAAATATTATTCTCTTTCCTTTAATAACCTACAACTAATCAAATATTAAATGAATAGCATCAAAAGTCGACAGTTAACTTTATTACTTAAACTATCTTTAAACAAAATTCTAGAGAAAAACGAAAGTATTAACTTTTATTATTAATGTTGTTATTTAATATTTAAAATTAGAATTTTTTATATTAATTTAACTGTTTGACGGAAAATGAATATAAAAAAAATTGAAAAATATTTTATGAAGTGAATATCGTGAAATTTATTTATTAAAATTAAACATAAATTTCATTCCTAAATATTTTAAAAATCTTTAAAAATAAAATTATTTCAAAATATCACTTATGGTAGCTGCTATTTCGTTGTGAATTTGTCTCTTTAATCCGATCCAATCAGTTCGGTAGACTATCGTATACAGCTTTCAGGCTAGGTACTTCTTTTATTGGTTTGACAAATGCATTTCGGACTTATTTGTGTTTTAAGTCCCTCTTCAGTTCAAACTAAGGTTCTGTTTTTTAAAAACCTCCGGTGTATAACTCCGGTGTAATAACAGTTTTTTTGTACAAAATTTTCAAAAATATTATTTTCACTGACAAAATGTTAATGTTTGATTAAAATTCTTATTTTGCAGTGTAGAAACATGTAAATCCATGTTATTTTTAATAAAACATTTGTCACTTAATGCAGAAAATTTGGGTTTCACTTTAATTTTTTCGTGTCTGTATAAATTTGAAACGCACCTTAAATACACTTTTTTACATGGTTCAGATTCTGAAAATCTTCCCAAACATATCAGATGCTTAACAGAGGCTGAGTGGAAAACACCACTGAACACAGAGTTGATCGCCTGTTGGCCTCATTAATGAGCTGGCCATGTGGAGTTTTTCGGTTTTCTTCAAGTGTCAAATATCTAAATAGGGACCAGTTTTCCATAGAAGTCCTTCTGGGAGGCATCCGCTTAGCAGATCGCCCATGTGTTGTGTTGCTTTATCCCAGTAATCTAATCCAAACAAATTAAGTCAATAGCAATCGTCTCCTTCCGTGGTTTATTATTGTGCTGTATCTTATACTGCACGTGATTTGTAAGAATTTTCTTTTCTTTTTTATTGCCCTTCTATGCTTGAATTTTATGAATATCAAGTGCTCGTTTTGCAGTGGTGTTTTTTCTCCATTGTGCTTATTATTGCTGCTAATAGATTTTTTACTGGTGTGTCAGCCACAATCATAGTTTTTCCTTTTCTTGTGAATGACTTTCCCTGATGCCTTTGGATATGATCTAATGTTAAATGAACTAATATTTACGGAGGTTAATGATGTCCCTTGACCTGTTGTATGTAGGTCTATAGTAGATCTACCACGTTCTCTGATGATTCTTCACTTGTTGATTCTTGATTTACAAGACTGTGGTCAACGGACTGTGACTGGCGGAAAGTCCAATATTTCTCGGAGTGACTGTCAATGTAACATTGGAAGGAAATTTGGTTAGTTTTCCTTGCATATACGCATATTGAGAGGAACGCAGCAACACATAATATTGTAACGACACATTACATAATAGTGAAAAATAATTTTTTTAATTGTTTTGTTATGTGTAACTATATTAAAATTAAAGTATTTATATTCAAATTGATGCCGGCATTAGTATAATGGTAACAAATATGTATTATTTGTTACTATTAATAAAAAATAATATGTTAAATATGGAAGTGTGATCATTATTATCCATTAACTTCAAATATTATTTGATGCATAGCAATAATTATTTATCTCCTATCAAGCCCTCGTTTTTACTGAAGCAAATTGCTACAGCTATAGCGCATGCAATTACTACCGTGTTTCCCCGAAAATAAGACATCCGCAGAAAATAAGACCTAGCACAGATTTTGCTGAATTGCGAAATATAAGACCTCCCTCTGAAAGTAAGACCTAGCGAAGTTTATTTTTAGTCGTAACGGTCATCGACAGATGGTTGAAAGTGGCCGTTGGCTTTTTGAAATTACAGCCACTGATTGGTCAGCAGACAATTACGCCACACGGCATGATTTGCATAAGACTATGGCTTGGGAATCACAGATTTGCATAACGTTACGGCTGGTGATGGCTAATTGGTCGGCCGGGAATCACGCCACATGTCATTTGCATAGTGCTACGGTTCAGTAAGCACTAATTGGTCATCGAGTCCGATGTTGACGCTATAAAAAGGCGACAGTACACATCGGATATACGTCACTCTCGTCTAAGTTCGACTTGGGAATTTTTTTTGTTCAATAATAAATGTGAATTCTTCCTCCTGGAAAATATAAGACCTCCCCCTGAAAATAAGACCTAGCGCACTTTTCAGAGCAAAAATTAATATAAGACACTGTCTTATTTTCGGGGAAACACGGTATCACGTGACAATTTGCCCATCAACTTTGAAATTGAATCGCTACTAAACTATACGATTGAAAACTTGTAGAATTAGCTTATATTTTTCATTGAGTATTTTACATCATATGAACATATACTTAAATCTCTATATTACTCTACGCGTCAGTAAATATTTAGGGTAGACTATGTAAAATGCAAAAAAAAACGACTTCCTGTTTAATGCAACTCCATGCCAATTGCAGAAATAACTATGTATCACTTCATCTGACGTTGAACAAAGATATAACTATTTTAACAACTTACTCCTGTTAACGATTTTCCTTTGCTTCTCTATATTCAAAGCAGAACAAAGAGATATTTGTTTTGAAACGTAACAAATTTTATACGGCTGTTAACCATAACCATAACAATAACTTTTAATTTGTTTCGACGTATTTAAAATTATTATTTACTCATCATCTACACAAATTCAACATTACAAAATTTAGAATTTGTGTAGAAGATAAGTAAATAACAGTTAAAAACGCTCGAATCTTCTTACGTTAATTCTTACTTTATTAAAGCAATTGTTCTGAGTCACTAATCGATCTCATTTCAACGTACTGTACAGTACTTACTCATTTGATTATAACCATTACTAGCAGGGCCGGATCATCGCATAGACAAATGAGACAAATGTCTAGGGCCCGGTTTTTAGAAGGACCTGGTTAAATTGTTTATTTTGAAAGATATTGATGAAATTTTTAAAATTCTTCATTCAAACATAACGGACGGCGACGACGAGGACGTATCAATTAACACTGCATTGCTAAAAAAGTGGTACAGTGGCGATATTGACACAGAAGAATTGGACGAGGAATTGTTGCAATTTAAATTAATTTACAAAAGCCAAAAATTAACGTTGCCATCTGATATGCTGCAATTTATAAAGAGCACAAAACTAGTATCAACATTTCCAAATATAGAAATAATATTGCGAATATATTTAACTCTGCCTATATCAAATGCATCTGGTGAAAGGTCATTCATTCTCAGTATTAAAACGTGTAAAAAATTATTTACGAAACTCACTGAGTGAATCAAAATTAAATTCTTTAGCTTTTTATACATCGAACAAAATGTTTTGGATAATATTAATTATGATGAAATAATTGGTAATTTTGCTGAATTAAAGACTAGAAAACAGAATTTTTAAATAAAGTTTATTCATATTTATATACTTACTTTTTTAAAACTATCTTGGCTTTTATTTAAATTATCTTTTTCATTATTCAATTTATCTTTCACGGGTAAAATATTATATTATTTAAATAGTAATAATAAAAAAGATTAAATTAAACAATTAATATTTTAAGGTAATATTGTTATTGTATAACAACTTCTGTTGAACATTTAATAAAATAAATTTCAATGTTTTAAAAGTTATAAACAAACTGTTCAAACTTTTCTAGAAAAACTAAAATTTATTGTTGTATATTAAATATTTTTTATTAATAGAAATTCATTATTTAGTTTTGTTTTATTTATTGTTTTATATTTTTTGTGTGCTCTATTTCTTGTGTGAGAAGGAAGGGGCCCGGTAAGAAAAAAATGTCTATGGCCCGAAAGCGGGTTAATCCGGCCCTGATTACTAGTCATAAATCTGATAGTCTAAAAACCAGCTCAGTATCCTTGAGTAGTATGAGGAAGTATATCACACTGTGGGATTCCTGTACTGAGTTAAGTTAGTCCGTTTAATTAGTCAATTCATCACCGGCTACTTTTTTATTTCTATTATGAACTAGTTCATTGTGGTTACTGTAGCTTCAAAATTCGAAAGAGCTATCTGTTTTCAGGTCTAAAATCTCATCTGTCACTGGAGTCACAAGTTACTGGATGAAGTGTCAGTCTGTATAGTCTTTCTTAGGCTTGAGATGATTTTATCACAAGCTATTGAGTGATTGAAATGTAAGTTTTTGAATCTAGGATCCAATTGTGGCGAAAGCAACGAAAAGACAGAGCAGAGTTCTAAGTTACCAAATCGCTTATTTATACTATCTTTCGCAGATACTGTTGTTGTTACCTGCTTTAAAATGTGACGTTACTTTGTTTTATACAACAATTTATCATCAGAATAATTCTAGAAATGATAACAAGTTTCACTCACTTCTCTGATCATGTACTCCGGAGGATTTAAAAGGTAAAGCATTTTTCTGTAATTATTTTTATCTCCCGCATATTTAATATTTCAAGCATTTTGGGGTCATTCAATGTGATTGAGTTTAATAGTTCCTTCAACTTAAATCTTTTATAACTAAATACAGTATCTTAAAGCTTTATATATATAATTTAAATTCCTACCCAACTCAAAGATATCGAATCCATTAAAGAATCTGTTCTAAAATATCTGGTCTCGG